TAAACAAAGTTCTAAAACACTTGGAAGTATTATTTTATTCCTCTACTTACAGTCAGTTTCCCACGGTAGGTACTTCTACGTGCTCGACATTCTGCTGGATAAACTTTCAGCTCTTTACATATACTCCCTTTTGGTACCATGGGAGGGCTGATCGTGGCCCCTGAAAAGGCCAAAGTAATTCGATCATTCTTAAAAACAAACTCCAAAGGAGGAATATCCTAAAAAAAAAGAGCAGAGTTTATCTTAAGTCAATTAGAACTGGAAAGGATCTTAAAAAAATCTATCCTGGACAGGAGAGATATTTTTGTGGCTATCAAACAACATTGTTTTCAATGCACAGGTGCTTTTCACTTTTTAAATTGTCAACTAGCAACAGCCATTCTGTCAGGCAACAAAGCAGAGAAACTACCCATTTTTGGTCTTTCCCGATTTGTAATCTTGTGTCTAACAGGCCAGGTACAGGTGAGCTTTACATTAAGAGCTGGTGGTGATACTTTTTTTTTCTTTCCTTCTTCCCTCATTATCCTTTTCTTTGTCTCAAGTCTTTTAAATTATGAGAATTTGGAAGCCAAAGTGAGAGCCTTTTTCAGCTGAAGAGTGGGATTAAAAAACAAAAGAAATGGTGAAGATTTCATTTGTGTGACATCTACCATGCACTACTATAAACCTGATAAATATGTTCTCACAGAGAAGAAACATCTCTATGCTGGAGCTAACCAATATAATAGCCAAAAATTAGAGGAAAAAACATAAGACAAGAATAGAGTCTTATAAATAGAGAAATGAGAATTTACAAAAACACAAGAAAGTGTGAATTTACAAAAAAAAAACCACCTTTCCTCATTTTTTTCATACTGTACCTCCTTTTCCAATCTTAAGAACAAAATGCAATAGAACATGCTGGGGGTTGTTAAACTCTAGCATGGCACTTTTCTAGAAACGATATAAATTGTACCAAAAATTCCTTTCCCTCCATTTTTGATTTACAACCAGCCTGTTAAAGAGATCTGATAAATACAATGAAAGATACTGCAACGCATACAGTGCCTCTTTTTTTTTTATTTGTTGAGGAGGAAATCTCCAAAGGGAGTGGGGTACCCTCTTCTCTACAATGAAAAGCTTCACTTTTATATTATTTTCCATCCCGGTTCCTTTTCGATTCCCCCAACCCTTAATCCGCTCCCCACCTCGCAGCAATGTGTTGTTGTTTTTTAATCTTTCCTTTCCAACTTCCTTACCTGCACGGCACGGCTCAGTCCTTCGCTTACAGCGTAATTGAACGACTCAATATGAGCCCGTGCAATATCCTGAAGGGCAGGCCGCTGTTGCTCTCTGGGCAGGCCGTAGTCCGGCGCCGTAAGATGCTTAAGGCTGGGACCTCTGGGCAAATTCCTCCATTTGCCCGCAGCATCCATGCTTTTTCACGTGCGAACAAACATGTGTTAGTTTTCCTCTTACCGGAAGACAGACATAGGCATCTTTACCTTCCTTCCCTCCTTTGCCCCAAAGCTTGCTGGGACTTGTAGTTAGTAGGGTCCAAGCAAGCGAGAAGAGCCTTCTGCTCCCAGGATGCAATGCGCTCACACTTTCTTTCTCCCTAAGACGGGAAATGATTTGCTGCCGCAGAATTGGATTTGGTGCCAAATTCTTTACTTTTAGTTGAACGTCTAATGCAAAGTGTAAAAAACTATGGGGATGCTACAATTTTCAGAAAATCAGCAGAAAATACAATTTAGCAAGGGGGTGGGAAATCAGCAGTCAAATCTTTATACTTAATTTGCATTGGCGCAACTTTTCAAATAATAGAGGTGGAGGGTACTCACATATACAGTAGTATATTAAATTACGACGTGAATTAGTAATATAACGAAGGACACTTTTCTGACAGCTGGACGTTAATACTTTACATTTGTGATGGCGCAATATGAAGGGAAGGGGAAGAGGTTTTCTTCTGTTTTTTTAACTGTAAAATGCATACTTTAGGCCAACCTGACTACGTTTCCTGCTTGGAGTAGCAGAAAATGGTGCTTCTGTTTTGACAGCATCTCTGGAGAGCACCCAGGTAGCACAAAAAAAAAAGGCTTTTACCACTACAGGGAAACCTGATTTGTCTTCAGGGCAAAATAAAAACTGGTCCAATATTTTACTAAGAAAAACAAATACAGTAGGGAAAAAAATGCATTTCAAAATTTAAGAAAGTCATAGGACACCTTCTAGTCAAGTATAGAATAAAGTAATTAAATGGGATATGGCTGCAAAGAAAACCCGCAGGATTGGTATGATAGAAAGGCATTGGATGGTGGTGGTTGTAGCTATGTTTTCTTTTTCTTGCCTCATATGTTCAGTTTTTTTGTCTTACTCCTTTTCTGTGCTCTACATAATGTTTCTTACCCTGAAAGGGAACAGTATGATGGGTATAAATGTAGAAAAGAAAAAGTACAAATACAAAACTCGCAAAAAACAGAGAACATGAAACAGTCCAGACACAAAGCTATAATTTATCTACTACTGTGATTTACATGTTAAAAGCTACAAAACAGAATACAAGAACCTGCCAATCTGTAAAATTGGATAGGGTCATTGGTATGGTGAACCCAGCCACCTGTTTACTGGGTTCATGGCCCTCATAGTGAGTGAAGGCTGCTTGGGAAATGATATGTAGCTGAATTCATGCATTGTGTCAATCCCCTTAGGGAAGGGATGCCTTGAAGGGAGGTATATAGTACCCCTCTTCCTCAAGAAATCATTGAAAGTTCAACAGTTCTAGACAATTTTCATCAGTTTTTCAAACTTCTGATTCTAGGATTTTCTACACTCTTTTCAATTAATAATAATACTTCATTAAATGTACAGGTAAATGATGTCCGATTCCCAGTAATTCTTAGTTAGGTCTCAGATTGAGGCATATTATGGAGATAGCATTGTTTGTGCTTGTTCATGACTTCTGATGGAGCCAGGATGAGGGTAATACAACCATCCTGGTTTTTCTTGATCTCTCAAAGGCTTTTAATACCATGAACATACTATCTTTCTTGATCTCCAAGTAGTAGACTTGTGGTTGAGGGCACTCTCCTGCAGTGTTTAGTCTGATGTCCCCGATGTGTGGGCTTCTGCTCTTGCCTCTCTCTAGGTCAGTGATGGCGAACCTTTTAGAGACCGAGTGCCCAAATTGCAACCCGAAACCCACTTATGCATCATCGGGTGCCGGGTGGGTCTGGCCATTGGCTGGGTGTGGCCCATTGGGTGGGTGTGGCTGCGGTGGTAACGGCAGACTGGGTGGGACTAAAAAGTTCAATCAATCAATTCCAACTTTGCAAGATCTTTTTTTTTTCCTGCAAGAAGTTGAAATTGACTGATTGATTGAACCTTGTTTTTTTTTTGCACACGGCGGCAGAGGCCTAAAGCAAAAAGGTTTTATAAAACCCAGCTGAAGGCCTACGACTGGGGTGACGGCACTCGTGCCCACAGAGAGGGCTCTGAGTGCCGCCTCTGACACCCGTGCCATAGGTTCGCCATCACTGCTCTAGGTAAAGCCCCATGTCTGCAATCTGTCAATTCAGAGTAGGTGTAAAGCAGTACAGAGGTAGCCATGAAAAAGCCTTTATCTAAACACTAACGTAGTTCTGAAATGGAGAAAGAAACCAGACAGAAATTCAAGATTGTGCAAATTGATTCTTTTTGATATAAGAGGGAGAGAGAGTCAGGGGACTTTGTTATTATAGCCTTTAATAATAGAACCATTTAAAAAGTATTTACAAACATGGCTGTGCTCCCCACTTCCCATATCTTGGGGTTAGAATGGGTAATAAGTCTCCTACTGGATTATGTATGTTGAGATGGTTGCTATTATTTTATAGACAGGCATTTTACCCTTTGTTATATGGGTTTTGTATGTTTTTATTGTTGTAAATCACCCACGATTGCCATGGAGTTGGGTGCCTGATAAACTTCATATAAATATTTATAAAGCTGCCTGACTCTATGAATATTTGTTATTCATAAATAAATTAAATCCCTAGCATTATCTAATGGTTGTTTTGTTGAATACTAATTTTTAAAACTTGCTAGCTAAATAAGCAAAAATGCCTATGAATTATAAAACTAAAGGTAAAATAAAATTATTCAATAAAATTTTGTTGCATAGCTTCATATGTAATGAAAAGGCAGAAAAATGTATTGCATTTCTGTCAGGAACAGGGTAAGTACAGTGCAGTAATATATAGATGAAGTATAGCCTGGAGGAAAGATGGAAGGAGTCAATTTAAATTATATTAGTGTTCATACTTTATGTGAACATCAAGCAGAATCTGTTATTAAGCAAGTGACTGTTTAGTTTGAGAATATCAGTTGTCTACCTAATACGATTCTGCAGGATCAGAGGAAGGTAATTAAATATAGATAAATAATTACATTTTTATTATGAAGTTTGAGGCATTGCCACATCTATTTAAAAAGGTAATACAATAATAAAACATAAAGCTAACTTTTTAGGATGAGAGAATGCTCTTAAAAGGTAATTATGTCATTTAGATGTATGTACCCATGCTTTTATAAATTTTAATATATCTTTATTAATTGCATACATACATACAATCCACAAATAAAATCAGATTTTATATTTTTAATTCATTTAAGAGAAGTTTGAGTACAAATATCAGCAATACATGCATTGCTTACAGTCATACAGTATATTCCATCAGACACAAATGTATACAACCACACTATAACTTTCTGAGGTCAACCGAAAAAAATCAATATGATGTAACTTTAGGTAGTGTGTGTTCAGTTCTGAGGTTTTTCAAGCAGTGTAATATGGAGGCCTGATCACAGAGTTAATTTGGTCTGGAGGCAGAAACAGCATGAACGTGTTAGTAATGACCTGTATGCAATCCTCTAAAATTGTAGTCACAATATATTTTACTCTTGTTGGCACAGCTATTATAAACTAACAATCTTTCCTACAAATAAAGCAGTAACTTAAGGTTACGGTAAAGTTTCGTTATGTCTCCATCACCAATAGAAAACCTAACCTTTGAATCACTACATTCATATTTATATTCATTTAATATGCTTAATTTCACAGCATTTTGCATGTCAGGCACATATAGTGGTTCTCTTTTACCTTATAATGTAAGAATAAAGCTACGGGAGTGGTGGTAGAACTGTGCCTAATACTGTCTCCAGTTAGTGAAAAATAATTCATCACACATACACACAGTGGAAAACACCCCAAGTGGAAAAAATCCAAAGGAGGAAAGAAAAGCTTTTTATTTGTTGGTTTCTGTCACATTGTAGGAGAGATTATTTTAAATATTTGCCATTTGATTCATCAAAAAAGAAGTTATACCTTCATCTTAGTAAAACTGTGGTGTAGTGGTAATTTTTTTGCACTAAGATCAGGGAGACTTTGATTCACATCTGCCCTGAACCACAAATGCTGAGGGACTTTGGGCCAACAAGGCACTCTTAGTTCTGACAGGGAGAAGGGGATGATGCACCTGCTACCTTGAGTTCCTAGATGAAAGGCAGGATATGCATGTACTTGAAAAAAATAAGAAATCCAATAGGTGATCTACAATAGGGGAAAGCTTTGGTGTGCATTGTGTGTGCACAGGTATGCCTTGACTCCTGTCAGCTGCTTAGACTCATCTCTGCAGGAGGGGTTTTGGCAAGATTTGGGGAGTGGTTTGCTATTGCCTGCTTCCTGGGACTGGTAGAGTGCGACCAGCCCAAGGTCAGGCAGGTGGCTTTGTGCCTAAAGCAGGACTAGAATTCTACCCTGGAAAACTCCACCAACAGAATTTCTGCCTGCTATATTTGTTGAAGGCTTAATCATGATTAAGAAGGAATGACGACAAAATTACTTACTAAAATTAATTAAAACTATCTTTAGTTTTGCAATAGTCTGTTATTAATCCATGGCCATTTTCTTTCCAAGTCTTTTCCATCTGCAGACATCAGTCAGAGGACCCCACATATATTGTTAAACAAAGCAAAACCGATTCAAAATTAGCAGAACAAATCTGATGTCAACCTATGAATAACAACAGTTCAGTCTTATGGATGCTTATTTTTGAAGAAAGACTCGGGGCGTTCAAAGGGAGACTATTCTACACAGACATCCATAGAATTATAGTTTGGTGCCATATGTATTTACTATTTCAAAAATTATTCTTTTTTTTCAGTGTCACCATCCTATTTGGAGGGATATTGGGTGGATATTTTCTTTTATCTATTGCTCCTCCTTTCCATGCAAATTCCCAAATGCCTCTCACCCACTCCTTCCAATTCTTCTATAGGGCTGAGGGAATCTGTAGAGATTTGGATAGCCCCACCAGAGTGGAATGGAACGAAAGAGAAAGATCCACTGTATAAATAATGTTTGTGTCACATTGTGCCCCTTAGTCCACCAGCAAAATACATTGGTATGCAATTGATTGCTTAAAAGAATTGTGCATGTTCAAAGAGCTGAATCATTTCAGTGTGCAAAGCTTTTTTTTTTTAATTACAAATCTGAAATATTTGTTTCAAGTATTTGGAGAGTGTTTTGACTTTGAAACATCTCCAAAAGAACTAAAATGACCTGTTTTACTCTTTTAATATGTTATCAAATCCTCTGCAAAACACTGATGCTCCATGGTAATTTAGTACCATGTCTTCAGGGAGGAGAGCTCCGTATAATTAAATAAAATGACATTAACAATCCTTGCAGTGCAGCTGTATTTAAAAGACAGAAATAACTGGCATAGATATATCAGCTTACCACTAGTGCTTTATTCTTGAAATGATTGGGCTTATGTACTTATGTTTTTATTTATTTAATTGGCAGTTGTCCATGTTCCTTTAGCAGTCTTCCTCAACTGCTGTATCCAGAATTTCTATCCCCATCATTGTCAAAGCATTACCAAAATATCTGGATATTGTACACGAACATTTGGACATAACACACAATCTCATTTTTTAATGTTTGCTATAGAAACAAATGAGGTTCATTCATTTATCCATTCTTGAACAAACTTTCATATTTAAAATAATATTTTTGCCAGTATCTAGTACACAAACTTCAATCACTTTATGGAACAAATGTTCTGACTATATGAGTATTTATAGTTTAGTGTGTTTACTACTTACTGCTTTGAAGGACTGTAGTTCCCTAATTCTGTTGGAATAAATCTACTGACCAGAGGATTTTCACTGCCTAATAAATACTAGCATGCATGATTCCATCACATTATGAAAGACACACAAATCAGATACTGTAAAATATATACCCAATATAAGGTCATACAGACAATTGCTTAAGGTGGAATACAGCCCTTTTAAGAGGTTTTGTTTTAAATAATCAGGTGTGCTATTTTAATATTCCTATATAAGGCTTTCCCAAATACTTACAATATTAAACATGGAGTCCAAAAGTTAAAAGTAAATTCTGCATCTATGAATTCTTTCCAAAATTATCCTGTGTATAGCTTCAATTTTGCTTGCTGCCTTAATTTATACAACGTATATATAAAGGAAAATAACATTGCACTGCATTTGTTTTGCCTGTGCAAGGACTGAATGCAAATAATCATAATTCAAGAAAATCATAGTATTTTTGCTGACAGTTACATCCTGCCTCCGCCATTGAAATAACATTATAAAAATAAGGGGAAAATTATAATTAATGGACAAACAGATGTGGCAGTGTGGTTACAATAAACAGAAAAGTATGTTATTTTTTAAGAAACATGAACACTAACATTTCAGCATCTACTATATAAAATGAGGCATATCCTAAGGAAACCTGGATGCCAATACAGTTAGTAATTGCAAACAAGAACTGAGCAGCTGAAAGGGTGTCCCTCAAGATATCAATTCTCAAATTACACTTACCTAGTAAACTTAGGACATTGCATAAAAACTCAAATTAGTACCTAATTTGGTTTCCTATCACATCTAAAAGTTATGGATTTCATTCATTTTTTATCCCACTTTTATTACTTTAGCAAATAATTCAAGGTGGCAAACATGTCTTATACTCCTTTCTCTCGATTCATTTAATGTCAAATAAACATGGCAAAGCGAACACCCTCAGCTGAAAAAAAAACTGTGACCTAAGCAAAAATTATGAACATTCCCATCTCTTAGGAATACTGTATGTTTGCAAGCACTCCACATAATTTGTATTAGGCCAACATTATTTCATTATATTCGGAATATGTACTTGCAAGCTAATCAGTCGAAAAGTTGGTATTCAAGGGGAATTCTGGGAGTTGAAGTCCACATACCTTAAAGTTGTCAAGGTTGAGAAACACTGGCCGGGACAGTTTTTTGCTTGGTCCTGCCAATTCCTTGTCTCTATCAACCTAATGTGTGGCCCTCCATGAATTCTACCCAGGACCGCATTCTCTTGTGTGTAAATCTTTTTTTCCTACTCTATTATAATTAATCAGATTACCATTCTGATACAACATTTCTCCTTGGTTTAATCCTAATGGGTTTAGCTGAATTTCTTCTACCTTCTTGGGAATGTGACTGCAAATTTTAAGCATAAGCCTATGTTAGTCAATATAAGAACAACACAATTTATACTCCATGAATATACATAATAGTAGAAGTAGTAGTATTGTAATTCCCATCCAATCTGAGTCAGTCTGAGTACAGTAGGATTGATACCTTATGAATGTAACAATTAAGAGTAATACTGTAATTGTCTTCCAACAATTCCCAATATCCAATCAATCTTTTTTTTTTACTTCAATAGAAGGAAGACTTTTAACTGGTGGTTTACATCTGCCATATCATGCTCATTGGTCCACTGACAAATGGCTAATTTTATTTCATTTTACTAAGTTATAAAGCTGTCCTACAGCTTTGACCTAAACTATTATAGCATGCAACATGCAGTGGTATCTAGAACAATTTATTTATATAATGTGTCCAATGATCTTAACCAGAAATATTAGCAAAGTGTGTTGTGGCTTCCTAAATTTCCAGCATAAGGCTATGATTTAAGTACCCGTAGGTAAAGTTTCAAATAACTGAACCTATTTATAAGTAAGTATGTATAAGTTCAGGATATACATTTGCAGTCAATGTCTCCTTTTCTGCTAAACATTCTGAAGGCACTAACAGATTATATTGTAGACTGATTACAGTACACTATTAGCTATATTTGTGACACTCTCGTGTTTCCCACGGAATCATGATAGTGTAGTTATATAATCTGAACTATTTTGTCTACCTCTCTGAATATTAAGAGAATTCTTGCCTGAAATATTTTAGTATGTTTTTTTTCATTGCACTTGGCATAAGTAACATGTTTTGCTTAAGACAGAAACTAGCAGCCTTGCAAGGAGGCAGTTAATTTTTATATAATAAATTACACACTAAAATCAAATTGTTAATTTTAGGATTGGAAGATCATGGATTCTGTGCCTTTTGTAAATATGCAAACTATGTCAGAGTGATAAGGAGAAGCTATCTTCTCATTAGAAGAGAATGCCAGATTTATGGAGGTCAGGCATGAAATAGCTGTGGGAAAGTTCTATTTTAATATTGAGAAAGGATATTTTGCAGTTATAGGTTATAAAAAATCAGTTATGTTACTTCATTGAGTGTATTCTTGCTGATAGTAAGTTTGCATATCCATGTCAGCCCTAATTTTAGAAGAGGACCAATGAAATGAAGACATGAGTTGCCAGACTCCATTCTCTTCCTACGGACTGACAGCAAGTTCCCTAGATCTAGCCATTCTTCTATGTATTCTTTTTCTCTAGGGGAGCAATAGGGAGAAAGCTGGTTCTGAGTGAAGGGTCTCTACTTGTTGATGCATATTGACTGAGTTCATGCATGGTACAATTTATTCAGTGTTATACGCCACTTTTCCAATAAGGCAAAACATTCAAAGTGGCTTTCAATTAAAATATGCTAAGCCATTATTTAGCTTGTTTCATTTCGCTCAGCTCATGCAAACCAACCAATTGTGATGTAGTAACAAACTTTAGTGTAGTACGATACCTGAACCTAACTCTATTATTTTGGGATTACTTAATGCTGGCAAGAAATGCAGAACAGGGATAAAACAATTGCCCTGACACTTATTTGGGAGACAGGAATGACCTTCCTTTGAACGATGATCTACTCTAGTATCACTTTGCTTCCTGCACATGGTTTTAACTGGATTTTCAGTTGTGATTTGGACTTGGTTACCATGGATGAGATTAGCATCAGTTTACTCAGATTGGACAAATTAGAAAGGGAATACAAATTCACAAATAATAGAAAGAGATGGAATAATGTGGACTTCAACAACCAAACCATTGTTTTGCTATGCCAAGCGAATTGAGGTACAATGGCTATGCTTACTTAACCCCGAATTTAAGCATGGTTTATTGAATAAAACATAATGGCCTGGGTTACATGTATTATGATGCCTTACTGGGTGCGTTCACACATCACTGTCAATGCAATGCATGAATTCAACCAATATTTGTGGAACAAGGACGGGATCAAGGCCCTTTAAAAGCTTCCCTTTCAGTATCTCAGAAGTATTTCCATAAGGTAAAAAGCAAAGGGATGAGATTTTAAAAAAAAATATAATAAGATTTTGCAATTGTGCCAGCTTTTCAGAAGAAAAAAGGATACAGTTTTGCAGTCTCCTATAGTTAGTTTCTGGCAAAGAACATATTTTTTTTTAAATGAACACACAATATATATATAAAGGCAAGGATATTGAAGAAACTTCATACCATGCAAAATAGGGCATCTTTTTAGTGTAAAATCAACATTGTACAAACAAAACAAATTAGGAGAGTTGTTAGGAACAAAGCTAAGGCACTAGAACTGCAGCAAGTAAAGAAAGAAAAGATCCACAACTCTGAGTGGAAAATTCTTCAGTCTCTCAAGGATACTGATACTTGCATTTGCTAAAACAATTGATTAAATTAGAAGGAAAAAGATAAAGACAAGACTTGATCATACCCCTGATTTTGCTGACATTTAAAAAATGATTGTGTTGTCCTCAAACATAAAGATTGGCTTCGGTTACAGGATTTGCTATTGAAACAATGCTTTAAAACATTTAGAGTTGATGAAAGCTTTTTGGTTCATCTGGGGCTTTCCTTTGAAATGTTCCTCTTCTGAAATTAAAAAAATTATGCCACTTTTTCCCTTCTTCTTTTTGGCATGATGTGCAGATGCAGTGTTCAGTGTTTCTTGGTCTTCCCTGGATCCAAACAGGTGGAAGCTTTCCAATGTGTTCATTTTATCTTAATTATGACAACTTTATAAATACAGATTGTTGGTTCTGTTTTTGAATGGTATCATTCAGAGGAAAGATGCAAGAGATGGCTACATCCACAATCCCTTGACAAAGCTCTGCATAAAGTTTCCTAAAAACCAAAAGTGAAAAACAGTAATTAAAATTATGCTTTTAAAATACTGATTAAAGTCTCAAACATTGATCCAGAATAACTACAGTCTTGGCCCTGGCAACAGATTTCATAAGACCATTGTCTTACTGATTTTGATCATGCTCAGAAGCTTCCGTAATTCTTCCTGAAAGCTACAGCAGATGTTCATAGATTTTAAGTGTGGATTTCTTTTCCTCCATAGGAGAGAAGAATTAACTTCTCCCAGAAGACAAAAATGGATCCCAACTGTTAGATCATTGCTTTTGTGCTCCTAACTTGAGCATACATGTTACTTTATTTTTCACAGCTTCATAAACTGCAGTTAGAACTATAGGCAGGGCTATCCAATACCTGTCCTTGATGCCAGGGGCTCCAAGAAAGCCAATATATGCTGGACTTCTGTCAAAGGGCAAAAGTGATGTTAGAGTCATCTGTATTTCTCCATCTTCATCCTGACTTTTTTCAAAACCCTTTCCTTGCAGAAGAATACCGTAATTCAGAAGCAAGGCAGTTGGACTTGATTATAGTGGTGATGGATGCAACACTAGATGATCTGAAGGGCCAGGCAGGGTACCAACCATCCTGTAAAAGATCCATCTTTATGATTGCTAAATATCTTAACAGAAGAATAGCAGAGTTGCAAGTGACCTTGCAACTAGTCTTCTAGTCCAACCTCTGGCTCAAGCAGGAAACCCTATATCATTTCAGACAAATTGTTGTCCAATATCTTATTAAAAACCTCCAGTGTTGGAGCACCATCAATTTCTGGAGGCAGGTTGTTCCACTGATTAATTGTTCTAACTGTCAAGAAATTTCTCCTTAGTTCTAGGTTGGTTCTCTACTTGATTAGTTTCCATCCATTGCTTCTTGTCCTGCTTTCAGCTGCTTTGAAGAATAGGCTGACCCCCCTCTTCTTTATGGCAGCCTCTTAGATATGGGAACACTTTATCATGTTGCCCTTACTCCTTCTTTTCATTAAACTAAGCATACCCAATTCCCACAACCATTCTTCATATGTTTTAGCCTCCACTCCCCTAATCTTGTTGCTCTTCTCTGCACTCTTTCTAGTCTCAACATCTTTTTTATATTGTGGTGACCAAAACTAGATGCAATATTCCTAGTGTGGTCTTACCAATGCATTATAAAGTGGTACTGACATGAACTTGATTCTATCCCTCTATTAATGCAGACTAGGTGTCAACGCTGTGACAACGGATGTCGTCGCTCTGACAACTGAGAACCAGCAGCCATTTTTACTTTTGCTTTTAACGTGCCTTTTCTATTCTTTTAGAGTTCAGATGTAGAAGGGGTGGGTGGGGTGAATGCCTGAGGGTTTAGCTAGCCATAACAATGTAGAAGTGTGGGAACTCAAGGACATGTTCTGAAAAGGTTTTGGTGGGTTGAGGGGCCGGAGAGAAAAGCCTACGTTTTGTGCTAATTGGAGAATGTGATTTATGACAGCTTTTGTGGGGTGGGAATTGCAATTTGTTACTTTGTATCTGGGAGGAGAGAATCTCATTCTTGGGTTCAACTATGTAAGTGCTGATACTTTGTTTCTAATAAAATGTTCTTTAAGGAAGAATTCTTGCCTTGAAGTTCTTTTACTGGTTTCATCTATTGGAACCATGACACTAGGATTGTGTTGGCTTTTTGGGCAGCTGTAGCACATTGCTGCCATCTTGATGGCATGTAATCAATCAATGAGCATTAAGAGGGTGTAGAATTCCGCAGATCTCCAGCTCACTGTAAAAGCTCCACAGTGAGTCTTTTGGAGCCTTCCTGAAACCAAACTTTCCAAGTTGGGCTTGGAGACTCTTTTTCTTAGAGTCCTTTCTTTACCTTTGGAGAGCAAAATCCTCCAAATCCTATGGACATTGGGATGTTGCAGCAATTAAAATCATATTACTATAAGAAATTGATAAAATCACTTCTACTGTTTATCTATATCCTGATTTCTTTTTAAAAAAACATCTGTTTATATGTTACACTGTATTATTAATAAACTTATTCAATTGCAAGATATGACATCATGGTTGAGAGATCAGTTTACATTCAATTTCATTATGATTATTATTTATAATCAGTTGATCTAAACTAGGCTCAGAATAAAGTCTTTATATTTCAATTGAAAAATGAAGATTTTGATTTTATTTTGTTGGAAGGAAAATAGTTTTTAGGTTCCCAATCAATCAAACATTCACAAGGATTCAAAATGAAAGTCAACAACCATCCCAGAAAAAATATTAAACACATGCACAGACAGCAGGTGCTGGCCATGGATCTAGGAATGTATCAAAACACTTGTTCTTTATCACTGGGCCATTTGTTTTCCTGACACTAGCTGAAAATAGCATCTTGAGCTACTACAAATAGACATGAAATGCTAGTATCTTTCAATATTAACTGAGCTCTTTGTCACAAAAGAGGGTTAATGGTTGCTGATAGCCTCTTTCTCCACTTTAACAGGGGAAGGCAAGAACAGCTTTCAATTAGTTTTCCAGTGAAGTAGGGGAAACTTGAGAAGGGAATGGTAAATAAAATCGTATCACTGGAGGAGCCTTTTTGAATTGATCCTTTTGCATTTCAAGGGATTACACTGGATTTCCTTTCACAAGTATGCAACAGTTGTGGTTTCCTTTGAGCTTCAGCCTGCAAATACTGCCAGCACGGAAAAGATCTAAAAGCAGTGACTTGGAAGCAAAAGAAAGATATCTATTCATGCAGATGCCGCCAATGGAGATCATTTGCTTTCCAATAAGTCTTTATTCAGTTCCTCAAACTCAGCCAGACTTGTATTTATTTAATCAGATCAAGTAAAATAAATCCCAGCAAGGAGGGAAAGGAAAAAAAGCTAGAATTTATGGTTCACCTATCCAAAGACTGGCTATGGACAGTCTTATCAGTTCACAACAGTTTTACAATAAACCCGAAGGAAGACATTATGGCACCATTCACATATTCAAGGGGACATTTAAAAGGATGCTTACTGGGCACATGCAGGAGCACCATTGACTTCAATTAGCCAAACTTTCAAGTCGTCATCCACCATGAAATCAAAACCAAAGAGCTGGAAACTCTGATAATGAAGATGTTTGGTACTGATAGCAGGTTCTATACACATAAGGCAGCTTCTGTGAATAGAATGAAATATCCCATCACTGAATTATTTTAAATTATGCTTTGTCCAACACCTACAATACTAAAATTGAATAATCAGGGTACTAAAAAGAAAGGCCAATACTGAATATCTTTGCTTAAAATAACAGTAGAATGGTAGAATTTACTCACTGAACGGATTNCAACAAGTAGGATTTTAAATGACTTTGTATTCAATGTTTAAAAATCTACACTGTCCAAAATTAGCAAAGCGTACAATAAAACTATCAGTGGAGGGGTTTCCTTCGACAGACAGTTAAGATATGCCAAATTCCCTTATAGATTATCTAAAGCAGGGGTAGTCAACCTTGGCTCTTTTATGACTCGTGGACTTCAATTCTCAGAATTCCTGAGCCAGCTTAGCTGGCTCAGGAATTCTGGGAGTTGAAGTCCACGAGTCATAAAAGAGCCAAGGTTGACTACCCCTGATCTAAAGTAAAAATAAAGGTTTCCCCTGTCCAGTTGTGTCCAACTCTAGGAGGCGGTGCTCATATCCATTTCTTAGCCGAGGGAGCCAGCATTGTCTGAAGACCCTTTCGCTGGTCCTATAGGGCCAGCATGACTATATGCCATGGTGTACGAAATGCTGTTACCTTCCCACCGAAGTGGTACCTATTTATCTACTCGCATTTATATGCTTTCAAACTGCTAGGTGGGCAGGAGCTGGGCCAAGTAATGGGAGCTCACTCCGTCACACAGCACTCAGGCCTTGAGCCCAGGCTGTAAGCTTTCCAGCTGGCAAGGTTAGCGTCTTTAACTTCCTGAGTTTTATTTTAGGAACTGTATTAAATTTTTAAACTTTTTCAATTGTATTAAACTGTGTTACATTTTTAAATTGTATTAATTGTATTAACTTTTTAAACTTTTCACTTCAGCACAGATGTTTGCAAGTAGCATTCCGTGGCAGGTAATGGACTTAACATGATGCAAGTCATCCTAAGGATACGCATTAAGGATGTTTTCCGGAAAGCAGGCTTGCTATGGAACAGACACCTAGAAGCTTTGTGCCTGATTAAACTTGCCTTATGACATAAACATACAAAACGGTAGAAACATTAATTACAGGTAGTCCTCGACTTACAACCATTTGTTTAGTGACCCTTTGAAATTAACAACAGTGAAAAAAGTTACTTATGATCTTTTTCACACTTACAACCACTGCAGCATCACCATGGTTACATGATCAAAATTCAGATAATTGGCAACCGGCATGTATTTACGATGGTTGTAGTGTCCCAGAATCACGTATCACCATTTGTGACCTTTTGACAAGCTAAGTCAATGAGGAAGCCAGATTCACTTAACAACTATGTTACTAACAACTACTGTGTTTCACTTAAGAATTGTGGCAAGAAAGGTCATACAATGGGGTGAAACTTACTTAAGGCTGTCTCACTTAGTGACAGAAATTTTGGGCTTAATTGTGCTCATAATTCGAGGACTACCTGTAATGGAGAAGGAAATTGTTGGGTATTCCTAGAATTGTTTTCATTTAGCAAAAAAAAGGAGCTAAAGCCCCTGTATATATTAAATGTCACTGCAAATAGAGAAAAACTGTGTGTGTGTGTGTGAGAGAGAGAGAGATAGAGGGGGGAGGAGAGGGAGAGAGCCTGGAAAATTCCTGTCCCTTTTCTCCATTCTCTGAGACATTCACTATTCAAATTCCAAGGGAGACTTCACATAGCCTCCACAGAGCACATTTAATATCAGTTCCTCTTGGCCTCTAGTCTCAGGTTGTTATGGTGCAGATAATATATGAATAATTGTGCAAAAAAGGTTTTGCTTTTTTTGCAGATAGGCTGGGATGAAAATGAAAGACAAATACATACCTTATTATATTTTTGACTTGCAGTAAGATTGTATTTTCTAAAGTAACGTTCAAAGTATCCACCAGGTACTGATTAAACTCTCCAAAAAACATTTCATTCCCTTCTTCATATCTCCCATAGTTTTTAGAATATTCTTTCTGTATGCAGTGATTGGTCAAATGACAGGTTTTGTCCAGGAAATTAGCACTATTGTAAGGTTCTGAAGAGGTCCGTAGAACACCTTCTCTGTAGAGGTAGATACTATACTGGTGATCCACTAGGACCCAACTTCTAAAAGTTAGAAAAACAACATATTACAGTGTATAGGTTTTTAAAACAAAACAAAAATCAAAATTAGGTACCACGATTTCAAATCAGAAGAATCAGATTTAATAACAAATATTTGACAATGTGTGGTAATTAAAGTGAATTAAAATTAAATATTTACATAAAACTAAAAAAAGAATACAAATGCACATATTCACTGCATTTGAACAAACCTAAATTGACAGAAAATTAATGAGAAGCACCTCAGATACAAAATATTTTTTAAAAAGCAAATCATTACCTAATATCAAATTTGCGATGGCCTGGTTCTAAGAGCATAGGCTTCTCCAGGTATTTTTGAATCACATGCACTTGTCCTTGATTATCTATAAAATCCAGAAGTTCAGTAGCCTCTGAAGAAATAAGAATTCCTTCACCTAATTGAAAAAAACAAAGGGTTGGACAGAGAAGTACTAAATAAAATATCAACAATCCAACCCTAGCATTCTTAGAATTGTAACTCAAAACATTTTGGGAGTTTAATATCAATAGAAGAGAGAAGATAGGAGAGTAACTCAAAGTTGAACTATGGAGTCTTTGGTCCTCTCTGAGCTTGACTGTTTTCTTATAGGTATTTTATTACCTGGCTGGAGCATAGCTAAAATCAAGGAAGTACCAAGGAGAATAATACACCCCCACCAATACTGACAGGGCAAGCTCTGTATATAAACAGAGAGCAAGCTTTACTCTCTTCTAGCACTGAAGATGTTACCTAGCCAGGTAATGAAAGATCTGCAAGAAAAATCAGTTTTCTAGGCCCCTGGTATAGTAATAAAGCTTTGGCTGCAGTTGCTGAGCCCCAAAAAGCAGGCTGGATTACTTTTCTCACTCAACTATCTTTGTCAGTGATGTTGTGGTCTCAACAGATCTGCAAGAAAGCTACCACACAATATTTGACCTCAGGGAAGGGAATAATTTTAAGTTGGCTTTAGTACCAATCTCTTTTTCCAGATTCTGTTAATTTTCTCCATCAATTTTAATCAAATTCTGCCTGCCTCCCAGCACACAATCCTGACTGACTTTGCATATCAAGCTATACCATGGTTTGTCAAATAGGCCACAATTGCTCCTGTATCCCAATAAGCCCAAAAATTTGATTGAAAGATGCAACAGTTGAGCTCATGTGACACACTAGGTATAAAACAAACACACCACAAATTGTGGCTTAGCATAAAGTACTAATTTACCCATGGAAGCCAGGAGAACATGTCTGAATCAAAGCCAATCAGTGATTGAGTAGCAAAGTTGGAATTTGAATATGGGATCTTTTTTATTAATAAGCCATGGTTTTTATACTCCATGGCTCCCTAACTTCTCTTGGATAAATAAAAAAAATTTACACAAATAAAAGTAATGCATTCCAGAGTCTGTCAGAAATTAACCTTTGGCTCCTGCTGAAGATTTGGCTATCCATACATTTCCTTCTCCACTCTCTTTCCTCTTCTGATAGGATGACAGAAAGACTTCTCTTTCATCTGTTCTTGTGTTGTTTATCAGATGTTGAAGCCCATTCTCAGCTGGAGCTACCGGTGTCTTTAAATTGGTTGGATAAATCACATAGGATTCTGGAAACCATGTGCAAGCCTCCACCAATTCAGGACTTGTCTTGATTAATCTACAGAGAGAGAGAGAGAGTGAGAGGGAGGGAGAGAGAGAGAGGGAGGGAGATATCTTAGCTGGTCTTGTTGATTTAAACATCTTTCATATTACTGCCAATTGTCTCTAACACATTTGGATCAATCCAATAATGTCTGTTTTCCAGAACACAGTACGAAAATTAATACAGTAACCCAGTGACTCTATTTCTCAATGCATGTATTTCCAAAACTATAGGAAAACTAATTTTGGGGAAAATATTCCTATGATGGAAATAATACATTCTCTATTCCTTGTTCATCTACATATGTCTTGAAGGACAAATACAGCTTATTAGTAGACAAGTTACTTGGAACGTAGGAGCTTTAATATCTAGATAAGGGGAAATGCTTCTCAAAAACTCCTGATAACTACTGGTACTCAAAGTAGTTAATACTGAGCTGAATGCTGAATGCTGTTCTAAGGTAGCTGTCATGAAAGACATATCCCAAAACCTTGATCTGATGTCTTCTTCAAACCTGTAACCTAAGATCTTCGGATCCAAGGCTCAGTGACTGAAACGATCAGAATATGATCCCTAAGAATGAGGCCTCCTCCAGAACAATAGTTCATACTAGTTTTCAAATACATGTTATCATTCTGCATTAATTACATAATTAAGGACTTTATAGCCCTTCCTGTCTGCTTATATAAACACTGTGCAACTACAGCCTATGACCAAATTTTGGCTCCTTTTGAAGCCCCTTTTATTTCCCTGTCATTAAAAAAACAATTCCAGTGGATCAGCCAAAGACCTCTGGCTTTCTGATCCCAAAGCAGCCAGCTACTCGACCTCCAGGAAGCTCATAGAGAAGACATGGGAACAAGTCTTGTTACTGCAAGTAATTACTGAACATGATGATCCTGATCTTGGGGGAAAGGTGGTACATTTTGATAATCTTATCCCTTATGAAATACATTCTAATCCTATTACCTTAAAGCTATTTTAAGGTGGCAACCAATGTATTTTGTGATGCCTGATATGTAATAACCTGTACAATTTAACTGTGTCCTAAATGAGTACTTCCTTTTATCTACCTCCACACCTGCCACCATTCAAACCTATTAGAATTGTTCAGATTTGGTATTATAAGCAAAAGAGAAAAAGCATCTCTTTCTGTACACTTTTTCCATATTATAAGAAAACTAAAACTATACTTACAACCACCAGCACAAGTTTTATCTTCCAAACTGTGACAAGCTCATTTTAAAGTATTTTTTATAAAATGATTTTGCTCAAAATCAGCTGCAATCTTCAATCAAATGGCTTGATAATTCTAGGATAGACTTCCCCACCCAACTTGCACTCTCCAAATACGTTGTAACTTTAAAAATCCCAGGAATGATCAAATCAAGTTTTGGATGAAGTAAATGGTGAAATAGCTGTCTCTGAAACAGCAGAGATGATGTCATAGCAATGACCAATTGCCTGGCAGCAATTTCAGTTTAACAGAATCCTTCTGAATAAAGGAGAGGATGAGAGATTCTTCTCCAGATGGCTGTTCCTCAGGAGGAGACTGCAGGTTAGTAGTCATCCTGCAGATCTTAGCACCAGGAGACAGAAAACCACCAAGCTCTTAACAGAGACAGAGCCTTTAAGGACACTGGATTCAACCACCTTGTTTTCTAATCACCTTTGGATTTACAATTATTTTATAGTTAAAAGAGGTCTTTCAAACAACAATTTGAAAAACTACCTGGTGAATAGGTAGTGAGTAAAACTTCAACTCAAAATAGAAAAAAAGCTAACTAGTAATTTAAAATAAAATAATGGCATAAAGCTGAATAGAATTTAAGAATGTTTTAAATGGATTAATGCAGGGGTCCTCAACCTTGGCAACTTTACGACTTGTGGACTTCAACTCCCAGAATTCAAGGTTGAGGACCCCTGAATTAATGGATCAGACAAATTTACTTGGAGAATAACAAATATTCTACAAACGATTGGCTGGGGAAGACTGGTTTGGAATCAAATTTACCAACAGTTTAAAGAAGAAGATATTGTTGTGCCAGTTAAAATTTCTAATAATCAAAGGGTGAACCAGCTACACATTTTGCAAGATTTTTAAATGAATCCTAAAACACAATAAAACATTTGGCAAAGCCCACAAACATTTTATTTTATGTTTCAA